GTCTCCTCTGGCCTGGGCTTGCAGGGAGCACCCCGGCGTGTCTAAGGATCATCTGCTTAGGGATCAGCCTGGGATGAGAGCCCCAGACACTCAAAGCAGAAGCCACCAGAGGACACCAGAAGTCACCATTTTCATGAGTACCCTGGGGACATGGTGCTCCCCACCTCTCAGCACTCCAGGGACTGTGGACTGGGAGCTAGCATTGAGTTGGAAGGCCAGCTAGGGTATTCACTATGGTGACAGGGCTGGGGGCAGGAAGCAGTGTCCCTGCAGCTGCTGGGAGAGAGTGTGGGTGTGACCAGACTAGGTTTGCCTGAGCAGCTTGGGGCCCCTGAAAGGAGGCACGGGGCCTGTAGGGGTAGAGACTCTCAGGAGGTAGACTGGATCCTTTCTACCTCCTGAATGAGTCTTGGGGTTATGAGTCTTAGGGTATCCAAGGTTGGGAAGCAGCCCAGCCAGAGCTTCTCTGGAGCTGGGCCTCCCGTATCCAGGCCTCCTCCTGCCTCCCCATCATGGGAGGACAGGCTAACACACGGGCAGGCTTGCCCTGTGGGTGTCTTGCTGGGGGAACGTTTGTCCAGGACAACATACCCTCTGACGTGATGAGAGGCCCATGTGCAGCCAGGAGGGGGGAGGGGCCTGCAGTGCCTGCCAACCCAGGCAGGAGGCAGGAGGGAGGGAAGGCGCATTCAGGAAGGTCAAGGTCTGCCTACCTGGGCTTCTTCCCCATGTAGAGGGAGGTGACTCCAGTACTTCATGCTCCAGGCTCACAGCCTTTAGCAGGATTACTTTTTCCCTTGTCCTTTGCATATAGATAAGTGGCAAATGAAGCCTGGGTGCTCTCCTTGGCCCCCACTGGAGTCCCACTGCCGAGGCCCTGCCCACGTGAGCAAGGCCTCCGCCTGCTCCCCCCCCCCCCCCCCACGCTCGTGCCCAGGCCAGTCTCCCTCCCTGGCTCTCTCCAGCTGATCTGGACCTGCTGGCCGCCAGCCCTGTCTCCCTGAGGCCTCCATGGGGCCAGTGAGGTGGCTTCGCCTCCCTCCTGTGAGTGAGCTGTCCCCAACCTTGACATCCACACCAGATGCTGATGGGGTCTCTCCTGCTGAGCACAGTGTCCGCAGCCAGAGCCTGAGATGCAGAACTGTGAAGGCAGAGCAGGCTTCTCAGCCGCTGCCCCTGAGGGTGGAAGACAATGAGGAGGTCCTCAATCCCTGGAGGGAGAAGTATTTCCAATGGAGAACACTATGCCCAGCCAAACTGATATCAATTCTGAATGAGGAGAATTTCCGACCTCTAAAGACCCCCTCACATGCACACCGGTATCATGGAAATGGCCTTTGAAAATTCATCTCACCACCAGAGCCATGAAAAAACTGGAAAAAATTGTCCGGCCTTCGGGACTTCGGGTGTAGCTCAGTGGGGGGGGGCATTCACATGAGGCCTTGAGTTCACTTCCTAGTGCTGCCTGTCCCCCCAAAGAAAAAGCAAATAAGAAAAAAAAATCGTTAAAAATTAAGATGGGGCTGTGGCTGTGGCTCAGTGGCAGAGCACTCGCCTAGTATGTGTGAGGCACTGGGTTCGATCCTCAGCACCACATAAAAATGAATAAAATAAAGGTCCATCAACAACTAAAAAAAAATAATAATAATTAAGTAAGATGTCCCAACAAGCCATGAGTGCTCATTCAAGGAAAATGGCAGAAGTTTGGAAAAGAACAGCCACCTCGTGGCCTCTTTTCCTGCTCTAGTCCAGCCCAACCCTCCAGTCCAGCACTGTCCTCAACAAAGAGCAGCGGCCTTCACAGCAAAGCCCAGCAGTGACCCAGGGGACCCACGGGGCTGGACATGGGGCATCATCCCCCAGAGAACTGTCAATACTTGTTCTATCTGGAGGTTCCCAGGTCATCCCCCTGGCAGGGTGGTCTCTTGGTGCCAAGGGCTCCCCTGGTGAAACTGCGTTCTCCTCAGGAGACTCTGTTGAACGTAGAGACAGGGGTGAGAACCAGAGCTACCCCAGGCAACGGCTGGCAGCTGGAGCAAATCATACACAAAGCAGGAAGCTTTGAGGGGCGAGCCGAGGCCTGAGGCCTGCAGAGGTGGGAAAGCTCTGGCCATTCCTGGGGGTCTGGGAGGTCAGGCCAGCATGCAGGGCCAAGCACCTGCTCAGGAAGACCGGGCCCTCTGCTCTCACCTCTGACTCACCTGGAGGTCCCAAGCCAACAGGACCTGAAGGCAAAGCTGAGGTGGCCAAGCACCTGGCTGAGCTTGGAATCATCCCCAGGGACACAGAGCCCCTCTGCAGGGACTGGGAGGTTGACTGGGTCCAGAAATGAGGGAAACCTCTGAGCAGTCTTCAGATGAACACTGAGCTCGCTGAGCAGACGTCAGTGGCCACAGAGGAAAAGACAGTAAGAAGCTGCAGAGTGAATTCTGAAAACTCAGTAGCAATGAGACATCCCAACAAATGACAGTGACAAACTCTGGGCAGGCAGGGAGTCTGTTTTCTGTAAAAATGTATAAACCACAAGACAGGATTTGAAATGTCCCATTTTCCCCCAAAAGTCACAAGACATGCAAAGTAACAACAAAAACAAAACCATAATCCATACCCAGGAAAACAAGCCACCAATGGAATCTGTCCCTGACGTTGAAGCAGCTGGACAAAAGCTTCACAGGAACACTCAAGATCTGCTCCAGGACCAAGAAGGAAAAGCAGGGCTGCAAACTGAAGGGCTAGAGAATATCACCAATAGGAACGGAGTTATGAACAGGAGCCAAAGAGAAATTCTAGAGTTGAAAAGGACGATGATCAAAATGAAAATTCACATCAGGGCCTCAAGGGCAGATGTTAAATAGACACAAGAATCAGCAAATGTGGAGATGGATCCACTGAAAGTGTCCACCACAAGAAACAGAAAGAAGAATGAAGAAGAGAGGACAGCAATTCAGAGACCTCCGAGTGCACCAACTCACTCACAGTGGGAGTCCCAGAAAAGGAGAGAGAGAATGCTCTGCACAGAATATTTCAAGACATAATGGCTGGAAACTTCCAAATTTGGATGAGAAAATAACGAAATGACAGCAACGAAATGACACTGTGTCACAAAAAATAAAAGGCAGGGGGCTGAGGGTAAAGTTCAGTGGAAGAGCACCTTTGGGGTCAATCACCAGGACTAAGAAAAAACCTAGAGAATGTTGAAGCAGCAAGAAGAGACTCCTCACAAAGGAAGGAGCCTCAATTACATCAGCATGTAAGGTCAGTCACAACCTTGGAGGCCAGAGCAGCGAGGACTGTCCCTCAGGAAGCGGCTGGAGGGAGCTGTTCAGGCTTGGCAAGGGGCTTCTGGCTCCACCCACTGGTGGGTCAGGAGACTAGTGAGCGCCCCACCCCCCTGTGGCCTGCTGCCACCCAGATGAGAGCTGCCAGTGTCAGGCCAGAGCCCAGGATGCGGGCTGGACAGTGAGCCAGATGGGGCCTGAGGCTCCCTGGGAGCAGTCTCCAGCCCGGAGAGTCTGTTCCAGGCAATGTCACGTCACTGAGAACCAGGCTGTTGGTGCTGGGCTGTGCCTGTGGAGAGCGTGCCCAGGATAAACCCAAGGCCGTTCATATGGGAGTGATCTGAGCATGGGTGGTGTGGTGGGTGCGTGAGTGAGCGTATGTGTGTTTCAGTGAGTGTGCGTGTCTAGTGTGCAGTGGGAGGTGAAGAGAACCAGCGCTGCTGTAGTTTGGGTAAGGGTCATGTGTCCCTGATGGCTCCATATGTTACAACTAACTCAATCCCATTGTGAGGTGCTGAAAATGTAACCTATGATGTTTAGAGTTGGGACTTTGGGAAGTGATTAGAAATAGAAAAAAAAATAATTAGAATTGAGCCCCCAATTAAATCAATAAGAAGAGAGCAGAGGAGACCCACTAAATACACACACACACACACACACACAGACACCCACTCCTGGTCTCTTGCAATTTGATACCTCAGGTATCTGCCACCAAGAATGTTATCACAGAAATGAGCCTTTGGATCTCAAGATTTTTTTTTTTTTTTTAAAGAGAGAGAGAGAGAGAAAATTTTAATATTTATTTATTTTTTTTAGTTCTTGGCGGACACAACATCTTTGTTTGTATGTGGTGCTGAGGATCGAACCCGGGCCACACGCATGCCAGGCGAGCGCGCTACCGCTTGAGCCACATCCCCAGCCCCCACTCTCTTTTCTTATAATGTATCCTGCCTCAGGAATTTCATTATGGTGATGAAAAACAGACCAATTCTGGTGGAGAACCTCATTCTCCTGTACTCTATGTCCCATAGCCCTTCTGATCACAATGATCTCACTAAGGCCCCAATCAGATGTAGATGACAAATGGAGGAAGTGGGGGCTCCCCTGGAGCAGGCAGGCGAGGTAGGGAAGCATGTGAAGGTGCCTTGTGAGAGATGGTGTGCCACATTTGGGGTGTGGGCCTAAGAAGAGTTGGGGATAGTGTTGTCAGACCACAGTTCTCTGAGCAGTCTGGACCAGAGCAGGGCAGAGTGAGTGGGGGGAGGGGCAATTCTCCTCCCAGATCTCATTCCTTCCCCTGGGTAAGTACCTGAAGGGGGAAGGAGGGGCAAGGACCTGTGAAGCTGCCCCTGCCCGGCCCTGCCCCCTCGCTACACCCTCTGCCTGCACAGTCAACAGAGCAGGCTCCCAGAAGAGGACAAAGGGCAGCCTCAGCTCCTTTATAAGGGAAGGGCCCAGGCAGTCAAGTGCCCAGGGTGTAACAAGACTGTCCTTGGGGCTGGGGATGTGGCTCAAGCGGTAGCGCGCTCGCCCGGCATGCGTGCGGCCCGGGTTCGATCCTCAGCACCACATACAAACAAAGATGTTGTGTCCGCCGAGAATTGAACTTACTTAAACTCACTTAAAAAAAAAAAAAAAAAGACTCTCCTCCCTGGCCCCAGGTACCTGGAGTGGCCAGGAGAGCCGGGTGTGCCAGAGGAGCTTGTGGACAGCACGGCAGCCATGGGACTGTTCACCGGGGACGCACTGTGGGCCCTGAGTGTGGCCGCGGCCGTCTTCCTGCTCCTGGTGGACCTGAGGCACCAGCGCCAACGCTGGGCTGCACGCTACCCACCAGGCCCCCTGCCATTGCCCGGGCTGGGCAACCTGCTGCAGATTGATTTCCAGAACATGGCAGCAGAGGTCATGTTGACCCCAACCACAGTGATGGGTGAAGCCATAGGCTGGACAGGAAGCTGGGCATCCACGAAAAAGCAGGTTTGAGAATCGTTTGGGAGTGAACTTTCCAAGAGCAAAGGTGTGGGAGGACAGAGTCCAGAGGAGAGGTGGATCTTGGCAGCTGGTTTGAATCCACTTGGGAGGGTATAAATTATACAAGTCCTGAATCCTTCTGATGTAATCTGAAAGATCTGGGGAAGGGGGAGGGGCCAGCAGCAGTCAAGGATTCCAGGTCAAGAGAGGCACAATGACTGCTTCAAATCTGCTGCTGCTGTGGGGCTTGCACTCACTGCTCACCTCTGTGACCCTGCCTTCTTATCTGTAAAGTGGGCCCTACTGGTCCCCACTGACAGTCTCCTGGTTCTGGCAAAGGCATAGCTGGGACACTGCAGACCGGCCGAATATGCCCATCAATGAGCATCTAGGCTATGGGCCTCCATCCAAAGGCAAACTGCGGCAGGGGCACAGACTATCAGGGCGGCACCCGAGGGGCAGTGATCAAGAGACGGTCTGGACCTAATGCAGCAGAACACCTAGGCTTGCGCACAGGGGGAACGTAGGGGAGGAGCTTGTAGCAGGGGAAGGGACTAAGGGACTTTAAATGAGCTGGGACCAAGGTGGGAGGAGCCAAGGATCACTCACGTTTTGGCACCCTACACCGCAGCCTGGCATGAGCAGCGGCGCTTCTCCGTGTCCACCATGCGCAACTTCGGCATGGGCAAGAAGTCCCTGGAGCAGTGGGTGACCACGGAGGCCAGCTGCCTCTGTACAGCCTTCACTAACAAAGCAGGTGGGTGATGGGCTGGGGGGCACAGGAGGAGATGAGATGGGCGGGCCTGGGAGACAGGGGCCACACCCTGACTGGCCTGCTCTCTCCCAGGATGCCCCTTTAGCCCCATGACCCTGCTGAAGAGAGCAGTGTGCAATGTGATCTCCTCCCTCATCTATGCCCACCGCTTCGAATATGATGACCAGCGCTTGGCCAAGATATTGCACCTTCTGGAGGACATGCTGAAGGAGCACTTTGGCTTGGTGCCCATGGTGCGGGTGCCGGTGGAGCATTAGGAGGGGTCACCAAGGCAGGGAGGTATCCCTGCTGGATCAGCCCCATGAACCAGGCCTCCCAGGAGAGGATTAGCATGCAGGGGCGATGGGAGAGGGCATCCTGGAGAGGACACTGTAAGAGGGAAGGCCCAGAGGTGAGCACATCTCAAACAGTAGCAGGACAGGTGGGCCAGGGTCAGAGGGCTCCAGGAGAGGAAAATGAGCCCATGCCCGCTGTCCAGCTAACACACAAGCTGGAGATTCCCATGGTGGGCTGCTCCTTCCGGCAGCCCAGGCCAGCAGAGAGCTTGGAGGCTGGCTCTGGGGAGGGAGCTGGTCACTGGGTGGGACAGGCAGGCCTGGGTCCACCCTGGAGGAGGCTGGGACCTGAGTGTGGTCCAGGAGAGTGAGGAGCACAGGAGGGACCCAGGTCCCCTCTGTGGCTGTCACAGGTGATGCATGCAGTCCCAGTGCTCCTGCGCTTCCCAGGGCTGCCTGGCAGGGTCTTCCCTGCACAGAAGGCCTTCAAGGCCATGGTGGATGAGCTGTTGGAGGAGCACAAGATGACCTGGGACCCAGCCCAGCCACCGCGAGACCTGACTGATGCTTTCTTGGTGGAGGTGGAGAAGGTGAGGTGGGGCTGCCTGAGACGGGCTAGGGGATGTGGGCTGAGGGTCCTGTGAGGCCTGAGGCCAGGCAAGGTGGGACCTGTGCATCACCCAGTGACTTCCTTCCTTCTTCCTGTGTTGTCCTCTTTGCCTGACCCAGGCCAAGGGGAACCCTGAGAGCAGCTTCAATGATGAGAACCTGCGCGTTGTGGTGGTTGACCTGTTCACTGCAGGGATGGTGACCACCTCGACCACGCTGGCCTGGGCCCTCTTGCTCATGATCCTGCACCCGGACGTACAGCGTGAGCTTTGCTGGGAGCTCTTTGGGAGGTCGAGGGAGGAAAGGTAGAGGCAGTGTCCCTAGCTTAGTTGGGACATCTGCCTTCCAAGCCTGGGCCTGGCCAAGGGTCCTGTAAGAGTGACATCTTCCTCATCTGGACACAGCCCTGAGATAGGAGAGGGTCAGGGTGCAGGTCCCTGGGTGCTGACATACTGTGGGGTTGCTTCTCTGTCCAGGCCGCGTCTAACAGGAGATTGATGAAGTGATAGGGCAGGTGCGGCAGCCAGAGATGGGGGACCAGGCCCGCATGCCCTTCACCATGGCTGTGATTCACGAGGTGCAGTGTTTTGGGGACATTATCCCACTGGGTATGCCCCATATGACATCCCGTGATGTTGAAGTGCAGGGCTTCCTCATCCCCAAGGTAGGCCAGAGGCCCTCCTAAATCCCAGGGGCACCTGTAAGCTAGTGGCCCCAGCATGGCCACTGTGTTTTGGAGATACATCTAATCTGGGATTCCTGGATACCGGCTGTCCCCAGACTGAATAGGTGTGGGATATAAAGTATCAGAAAGGCCAGCCCTTTCCCTGAACCTCTGAAGTAGTATAGTGACAACCTAAGAGATGCCATAGCTTGTCAGAGGAACCACTGCAGTCAGGGAAAGAGGACAGTGTGGGAGAATTGTCACTCAGTCTGCCATGGCATTAGACAAGGTTCTAGAATCTTCTGGAACCGAGGGTTACTTCCAAGGGTTCAGGTGTGGGCAGGCTAGAATCTGCCCAGACCAGAAGGGTCCTGACATCCCCCTCCCAGTCCCTGCTCATGGCAGGCATCTCCTCCAGGGGACGACGCTCATCACCAACCTGTCGTCTGTGCTGAAGGATGAGACCGTCTGGGAGAAGCCCCTCCTCTTTCACCCTGGACACTTCCTGGATGCCCAGGGCCACTTTGTGAAGCGGGAGGCCTTCATGCCTTTCTCAGCAGGTGCCTGTGGGGCCTCCCTGTCCCTCCCCAGGGCTCCTTGGAGGGGTGGAGGCCAGGGACAGGCTGACTGAGCCCGAGTCCCCCTCACAGGCCGTCGTGTGTTCCTCGGGGAGCCCCTGGCCCGCATGGAGCTCTTCCTCTTCTTCACCTGCCTCCTGCAGTGCTTTAGCTTCTCGGTGCCCCCGGACAAGCCCAGCCCAGTGACCGTGGTGTCTTTGCCCTCCTGCTGACCCCATCCCCGTACCAACTGTGTGCTGAGCCCCGCTAGAGGAGGTGCAGACCCCAACCCTGCCCCCAAACGGGGCTCTGATGTTCAATAAACCAGTCTTGTCACTGCCACTTTGTTCTGAGATGCCCCTGGCTCTGTTGGGTCCTCAGCCACGTGTCTGAAGCCAGTCCTCGCCCCCTGCCTCATCCTTCCTGACTGGACCCCTTGAATGCACATGAGAAATGGGCATCCTGGTGCTCAGCAGGTGACATCTGGCTTCATGACACCCACAGAGACCCATCACTGGCTGCTTGGTTGGTGGCCAACTAAAGGCAGAAGTCTGGACTCTGTGGGTCTCAGGTAGGGGACAAGTGAACGGGTTTCTGCCAGACATCAGTGCTGTCCCTGGCTGCCTGGCAGATGGTGTGACACAGGGAGTGGGACCTGCTCCCCAGGGAAGTTTGACCAAGCCTCCATGTCCAAGAGTTTCTTGGGGTTGGTCAGGTGGGGTGGAGCTGCCCCATGGCCAGCTGCCACAACTCACTCCCTGTCCCCTCCCAGGCCAGAGGAGATGGCCCAGTGCTCCCACCAGTATAAAGGGCCCCAGGTACACAGAGGCGCTTGCCAAGAAGGATGTGCCCAGGCCTTAGGGACGGTCTCCTGCAGCCCTAGAGGAGTCAGGCATGTGTTTTAGAATGTGGGATGGAGTCCCCAGGCCTGCTGAGTAACTGTCCTCTAAGGGCCACATGGCTCTGCGTGAGCGTCTGTGTTGTTTCTGTATTGTGGTAAGACTTGTACCTAAAATTTACTGTAAGCATACTACACACACATTGTGTGTGTGTGTGTCTATTTTTAATTTGGTGGTGGTGCCAGGGGTGGAACCCAAGTCCTTGTGCATATTCAGCAAGTATTTTTTGTGGGGGAGGGGCAGGTTCTAACAATGTTGCCTGGCTGGGATGGAACATCTGGACTCAGGCAGTCCTCCTGCCTCAGCCTCCCAGGAAGCCTGACTGCAGGTGGGCACACCGTGCTGGCTCCTGGTGTTCACCCTGAGCTGCCCTCAGCTGCATTTTCACTGTCTCAAGCGCTCAGTTGAGCAGTACCAAGCACACTGACATCGTGCACCGTCACCTGCCCATCTAAAGAACTCTTTCATCTGGAAAAACAGAACCTTAAATTATTAGACTGCTGTGCACAGTGCCACACATCTGTAATCCCAGTGGTTTGGGAAGGTCACGAGTTCAAAGCCAGCCTCATCAACTTAGTGAGGCACTAAGCCATTCAATGAGACCCTATTTCTAAGTAAAATATAAAAAAAGAGCTGGGGACGTGGCTCAGTGGTGAAGCACCCCTGGTTTCAATCCCCAGTACAACAACAACAACAAAAACCTATTACTTCCCACTTTCTCTTCCCGCAGCCCCTGGCAACCATTATTCTCCTTTCTGCTTCTATGAATTTAACTATAGATTTCCGGAGAACTAGAAGCATCCATCTATCTATTGTGACTGACTTATTTCACTTAAAATAATGTCTTCAAGGTTCATTCAGTGCTTCCTTCCTTTTTAAGACAGAATACTTCAGTTGTGTGGGTACGCAGTTTACTTTCTTATCCCTGTTCCTCCTTCCTTGGTTTCATTGAAAAGTGGACAACCAGAGTCCAAATATTTCACAGGGAAAATTCTACCAGTAAACAATTCAGGAATTTTAAACCATGTGCCATTCTGAGGAGCTTGGCCAAATCTCCCATCTTCCACCTTGGTCTTCCCGTCCCACTCGTATTTAGGATATGAGGGATGCCTTCATCCAGCGTGTCCATGCTGTATATGCTACAGCCCCTTAATCAGTTAGCAGCAGTCTGAGTTAACAACAACTTCAGTGATTATGCTGGGCTTGTGTTCAAGTAAGAAGGTTAGTAACCACTGGGCATGTTGGCCCTCATCTATAATTCCAGTGACTTAGGAGGCAGAGACAGGAGGATTGCAAGTTTGATGGCAGCCTAGGGAATGTGTGAGACCCTGTCTCGAAATAAAATTTGGAAAGGGCTGGGGCTGTGGCTCAGTGTTTGAGCACTTACGTAACAGTAGACTAGGCCATGGGTTCAACTCCCAGCACCTAAAAAAACAAAACAGTAGTAGTGTGCTGCAGGTCTGTACCCTTCACCCCAGTGGAGCTCACCGAGTCAGCATCACCGCATCTCCCACTGTAGAGTAAGGGTGAAGGGCGGGTGCGGACAGTGAGATACTTGGCAGGAGACCAAGCCCACAGACCCTCACTGCAGGGCGCTGCTGGACAGCTCCCGGGTCAGCCATGTTATCGTCCCTGCAGTGCCCAGGCTACAAATTAACCCTCCTGGTGGGCACGAGTGGGTAGGGACAGCAGCACTGTGTGCAGCGTGCCTCGTGCGCAGCTTCAGGCATCCCCTGGGGCCCTGGGGTGGGTCTCTGTGGATAAGGGCTCCTGTCCCCTGCTTTCCTGACCCACTCACCTGCCAGAGGACACTGGCCTCCACCTGCAGCCGTGACCGTGGGGGTACAGCGGTGTCTGTGAGACCCTCCTCCAACTCCAGTGGACATAGGCTCAGAAGTGGAATTCTGGCTCGCGGTGCAAGTCTCTTTCCATCTTTGAGGCCCACTGTGCTGTTTCCCGCGGTGGCTCTACCATTGAGGTTCCCGCCCAGAGCACAGGGCTCCACGCCCTGCCCAAGCTGGCAGCCCTTGTTTTCTGTGGTTGGTTCCTCCCCCTCCTCCCTGCCTTTCTTCCTCTCTTGCTGTACTGGGGCTGAGCCCAGGGGCTTGTGCCTTCTAGGACAAGAGCTCTGCCTCTGAGCCACCTGCCCAGCCGTTTCTGATTTACTGAGACAGGGCCTCGCTAAGTTGCTGAGGCTGGTCTTGAACTTGTGATCCTCCTGCCTCAGCCTCCTGGGTAGCTGGGAAGACCAGCGTGGCCCCCGTGCCAGCTGGTGCTTGTCCTCTGGTAGGAGGCGTCCTGGTGGGTGAGGGGTGGTCTGTTCTCCACGGGCGCAGGGCCTTGCTCTAGTTAGAGGTGCTTCTTGTGGTCATCTTCTCCCACTCTGTGTGGCCTTCTCCCTCTGTGCAGAGCGGCCTCCCATGCCCAAAGGGTTCAATTTTCATGAAGTCCAATTTGTCCTCGTGGTTTTTGAGCTCATACGTGGGGACTTTGATCGAATGTTAATTTTGCATATGTGCCGGCTGAGGGTGGCTGCACTCCTGTGCGTGTGGACGTGCAGTTTTCCCAGCACCGTTTCTGGAGGGGGCTGTGCTTTCCCGTGGAATGGTGTCGGCACCGTTGTTGGAAATCATTTGACCACATGGAGTGAAAGGGTTAATGTGGGGAATGTTCTGAGGCCTGTGTTGTCAGGCGATTCCTTGTTTGCAGAACCACAGGGCTTACCTGCATACACCCAGGTGCAGTCCCCTACACACCTGGGCCTGGTGGTAGCGCCTCCTCCTCCTCCTAGGCCACGCCTGTGCGCAGGTCACTGTACTGAATGGCGGAGGCAGTTGTGCTCAATGTTGAGTTCAATGTGACCAGGTGATAGGAGCATTTTAGGTTCATGTATATTGGTGGAGCGTCATTGTATGTCCACACTTGTCACGTGACTGTCCAGAAAGATTTATTTCCAGGAATCTCATTTGTTGTGTTTGTCTTTCCTCCTGCCAGTACCACACGGATTTGATTACTTCAGCTGTGTACAGATGGTCCCAAAAAATGGTTTGAGAAACCATTTTTCCCTTTATGGCTGTCCAGTAACTATAGGCATTCCGAATAATCTGTGCCTCAAATTTTGAATTTAATCTTTTTTTTTCCTTGTGATGCTGGGGATCCATCCCAAGACCTCATGCAAGCTGGGCAAGTGCTCTCTGACTGAACTGAAGCCCCAGCCCTGAATGTTAATCTGTTGATATGCAAGTATCAATCCATGAACAATAAAGTATTTCTTTTCATTTATTAATTCTTCTTTGATTTCTCTATTTTATTTATTCAATATTTATTTATGTCTTCTCTACCTTTCTTTGCAATTTTTTCTAGTTTTTGCTATATACATCTTGGACTTCCTTGGATTACTGATTTCCTTCATTTATTTTATTTTACTTGATAGTATTTTAGATAAAATTATAATTTCATTCTCAGGTAATTTGCACAGCTGATTTGTGCATGCTGACTTTGTATCCTCTACTTTGCTGAATTTTCCCCAAACTTTTGACAGTGTTTTTTTGAAACTTTCATTTTTTTCTGCACATAAAGTTCAATTGTCGCTCAATGTAACATTGAAGATTGCTTTGTTTCCGGTCATCACTAAAATCAAGATAATGAAGGGTTAAAATTCTACTGTCATGTATGTTCTGAAAAACTCACAACATGAAATACTCTTATTTTATTTGAACCTGATGGCACCAGACTTTAGGTCCCTGAAGGTCAAAACTCCTGGACTCCTGGCTCTGGGAGTCAGGCCGGCAGGGAGGAGAGAGCAGCTTCTGAGCCAGCTGCAGGGGTCCCACACCCTCCACCTGCCCTGTGTCCTTCACTACCTGAGCTAAAAAAGAAATTTGTATGTACAGGTTTTTCTGCTTTAAAGGTTCTCACCTGTCAGACATGGTTTTGGTAATTCTTTCTTGTTTATCTTTTACTGGCCCTTTAGCATGAGGGCCATGTTACATTGATCTTATCAGTAGTCTCTTGTTGAGAGCCACAGCCTAAGGGGCCCCAGCAAACTTTCAGACTGCCAGCTGATGATTGGCTCACAGCGGCCCCAGCAACTTCTAGCTGATTGGCTCCTCTGCGGTGATGCTCATTGGGCTGTTTCCCCGCCCTTTCAGACTATGGAGCTGCTCACTGGGGGACTTTTTTTTGGCTCCGCCCACGCGACCCAGCCAATCGGCCTCAAGAGCAGGAGGAGTGGGGGAGGTTGAGAGGCTTGTGGGAAGCCGGTGGTGGCAGTTGGGCTCTGAAGGTTTTTCCTGAGGAGCTGTTTTGTTTGGCGTGTGTGGTTCTAAAAATAAAGTTCCTTTCTTTTGACAAGTGGCTCCTGAATTGTGCCCAGCCAGACTGCGGCAGTCTCTTAAAATCTTGGGCCACCTATAGGTATGGGCCTGTTTAAGATGCTTCACT